TATGGATTGGACAGGCATGTCAGCCATTGTTAGGAATGGGCGTGTTGTTACAGCTTGATTCGAGCCTGGAGTTCTCAGAAGGGAAAGTTGCATGGAATCTCAGGAGTCTCCAGAAAGATGAGCTAGCACGGAATCCAAATGATAAGAATGAGTGCACACTTTTAGGTATGGAGCCTGTGAAGTTTACTGATACCCCAGCCACGGTGCAGGACAAAGTTGATGTTGATAGCAAAGAGAGCTTATATTTCCGAAGGTGCAGTGTCTTACTTAATTAATCATCAATCATTTTGACATAAAAGCTACAGCCCTTGAGAGAGTGCAACTTGTAAGAGCTTTCTAAAAAAAAAAAGGAATAAAGTCTGGTTGCAGCTGAATTATTAAAACTATGACTAGTTAGACATATTGCTAGATAAAACTTTAAAATACACAATAATGAATTGAAGACTGCTTTTTATAAGGGACTTTGGCATTGTTTTCTCTGAATTTCCTTTAAAATGATGATGCCCACAGGTTTCTGCTCTATCGAATCGTTTAAGAGTATTGGTGTATTCAATCTGACTAAAATGCTTAGATTGCCAGGTTGCAGCACCGTTAACAACAATATGATGGCTAAGAATAGCATGAACCTCCACTCACAGGCTCTCACTGGCTTCTCCTTGTTTCCTACATTGGCTGGACTGGTTAGTCTCCTTGATAAATACTGCTCTTCATCTCACTTTTACTTTGTAAACTTAATTGATATTAAAGGAAAAGGGCAAGTTCTTCCAAACAATATGACAATGCAAAAATGCTTCATCATGTAAATTTAATGTCCTCTCTATCCTTATGGGGACAGTGGGTGGTTCACTGATTTCGGGATTGATTTTGTGGATCTGTTTGTTGGTTTCCATTTGCTGGATCCAGCATAATTGACAGATTTTTGGAGAGGTCTCTAAGGTAACCACAAAAATGCTTTTGATGTGGTTAAAGTATTGGCTTGGTTTTTTACACTATTGTGTAAAACAGTAAAAAAAATTCTCCACATTAGGTCAGCCAATCAATATTTCAGAGGCAGAATCCCAAACATTCCAAGATCCCAGAAAACAATTTGTCAATCGTTCTCATAGTTGCTCCCATAAAGAAGGCTACAGAATAGTTGGCCCATGGAGAAGGATCGTCAGTGTGTATGTGTGTGTGTCACCAGATTTATAGCAAGGTGTCCCTGATTCCCTGCAGCTGTAAAACAACGAGTAAATTACACCACAGTTGTCAGCCTCCGAGTGCTTGCAGGCATTTAATGGTGTCTTCCACAGACAAATTGTTTCTTTGTTGTTCTTCGAGCATATGTTGACACAAGCACAGCTATAGAAAAAACTAACCCCCCACACTTGGCAAGACTGCCAATGGGTAGTCAACATACCTGTTGGACTCACCACCCGCAGGAAGGTTTAGGGGGGTTGGTACGGTGCAATGTGATTTGGGTGGTGACTGCTGCCCCCGCAACCCGGTAACGGATAAGCGGATGAAAATGGATGGATGGATGGTAATCATAATTGTGAAAAAAGGTACTTTGCAGCTAGAGAGTAGATGAATGGATGGATGGACGGACGGACGGACGGACGGACAGACAGACAGACAGACAGACAGACAGATAGACAGATAGATAGATAGATAGATAGATAGATAGATAGATAGATAGATAGATAGAACCTTATTAATCCCTCGGGAGGTCCCTTTGGGAAATTCAGGCTATTTTTTTTTTAAGACGTTTCACTGCTCATCACTTAGAGGAGCAGTGAAACGTCTTCAGAAGTTCAAACTGACTACTGAGAAATTCTGGTATTTAGCCTCAAAAAGGGCTGCATACCTGTAACGAGGGTCGTTGCAGAAAGGGGGATGGAGGTGTGGTGAAACATCCTATTCTAAGGAGGGCGGAATGTAAAAACACAAGGTTAGAGGTCTGAAATGGGAGTGATACCATAGCTATGGAGTAATAGTTTCACCTGAGTGACACCTTTGGCTGAGTGTTCTTTGAAATGAAACTGTGAACTTGTTTTTAGGGAGATGATTGAATTTTTTGGTGAGAGAACCCAGGATTACATTATAGGTGGATGAAAGGTTGTGTCTCAAAACACCTCTATTCAGAGATGGGTTCTCCAGATTAACATAGATGGCTTCCTTCACCCCTCTCTCTCATCTGTCTTCTCTGGTGAGGACATGTACATCCTCATCCACAAAAGTGTGTCCTTTGTCTTCAAGATATAAATAAACTGCTGAGTCCTGCCCTGAGGAGCTGGCTCTTCTGTGTTGTTGCATACGCTTGTACAGTGGTTGTTTGGTTTCCCCAATGTAGAGATCAGGGTAGTTCTCACTGTACTGCATATACAAAGTTGCTCTTTTTCTGTTCGGGTATTCTGTCCTTTGGTTGAACCAGTCTAGTGTTGTAGGATTTGTAGTAGTGTTAGTAGAATGTGTAGATAAGTAGGCAATATAATTCACTGGCAATTAGTCGTGGCTGTTTGTCTCGTTTGACACAAAATAGCAAAGAAACATAAAAGAAAAGAACATACAGGTAGCTTAACAAGGACTGTGAAGAACTCAGTCGTGCAGTGCAGGAATAATACATAATCCTCTGAATGTGTGCAGCATGTACTTCCCCAAAGAAAATAAAAAATTTACAACTATTTTTTTTCTAATTTTAGCCACAGCAAGTAGATGTTGAACAAGGCAGGATGACAATAAAGAGCAGAGAATAAACGAAAAAAAAATGTTTCTTCAGAGATTTACACACAACAGACTCAAATTTAGGCCAAGCACTAAAACAAATAATGCAATGCTGAAATTATATTAATGGAGTGTTTCTCTCTTTGACAACCTGAAACACAAAACGCCATTTTGCCCAAATTTACAAAGACAGCAAACCACTTTAATCTGCAAAGTGTAGCTTTGTGTCAGAAAGTCAATGAAGATGCTTCATGGTGCACTTTTGCTAATGCTTTAGTTTTAAGTTTTAATCTTTTTTAGCTTAGGACACATCTGTCACCAAATTCAAACTTGGCAGCACCAACGATACTGCTGTATTTTATTCCCTAGGATAGGAAAATCAGATTGAATGAGAGAAACTTCACTCGGACACCTAAGGTGTTGAATGCAAAAATAATCCAACTTAGGATAAGGGGCTACTAAAAAATAATCTTCCATTTTTTTTCAATTTCCAAATATGATATTAATTCTATCAGCAGGCTCTCCTGTTTCACTGAGGCAGAGTGTGGCAACAAAAAGGGAAAATCAATTTTGGGAATGAAACGTGTCAGCTTCCTTTTATAGAACTGTGAGAAATAGCTTTCTGATTAAAGAGGAACAAGAGAATATGACGGCAGCGTGTGTAAAATTACATAATCGGAATTAACAACCATGAGAAATCCATCACACATGTATGTGTGCATTCGTGGCCACGTATATTTGCCTGCCGATATTTTATTGAAAATATTTAAATTATAAATGCACAGAGAGAGAGCTGTTTGCCTTTAAAATTGCACAGAGCTGTAGGAGCCACCAGACACTGAGCATTTCCCCTGTGCTATTACAGCAATTTATTATTGGAGGCAAATGAAAAACGACACAAATACACATTTTACATGTGCAGTAAAAGGTACAACTAGTTGTAAAACAGGGTTTATCCACTTTCTTTTGTTAAATTTAAGCATTTCTTAAAGACTTACAAGGTCAATTTTCTGGTTTTTAAATTGCACATAAATTGCATAAAATATGGAAATCCATGCATAGTCAAAATAGAGGATTTTCATTTATCTATCAAGAGAACTGTTCTATTTTAACAGAAACCCATATGCGTGGCTTTGGTTTTTCTTACCCATTTTCATGAATGTATGAAAACATGGTCTGTGGTCTGATTAATTATAATTTGTTACAGAGAAAACAAAAATGTGACAGATGATAATCGAAGAAACATCATCTGTAATTAACAAGGGTAAAAACAAATGAAAGCAAAGTTAGTGAATGCGATTTACTATGAATTAACTATAACAGTGTGAGGCTGCAGACATGTTTAAGCTTGGCCGACCTGCCTGCAATCAAGATCTGACTCTGGCAGAACACAAAGAGAGAATCAGACAAGTTTTGCTAGTGTTTTTAGTGTTTTCTACTCTCAGTGATGCAGCAAATAGTATTAGTATGGAAAGAGCTGACAGTCTTAGAATGTGCTGAAGGCATCCACCTTGAGTTTGATGTTTAAGTTGTACATCAGAGAAATTTAAGGTGGTAAGAAAAGCACTTCAAAATATTTCCTTTTTTTAACTTAAAAAATACTAGGTGATGTGAAAAAGCAAATGATTTTAGATTTAAATGCATTTGTAAAGTTCTATCTGAATGTACATTCAGGCAGAAGAATGAGATAGTATTGCAGATACATGGTCATTGCAGTAATTAATATATCATAGATGGCACTATATTTAAAATGCAGTGGACAAAAAAGGCTGTAACATCTTTAGTTACATCATGATTCAGGTAACACACTGGAGTTTAAGCAGTAGTAGGAAAAAAAGAATCATAAAACACAATAGTGTGAGGTAAGTTATATAAAAAAGGTATTGATTCTGCCTGTAGAGGGGGTAGGGGTTGAGGGATAGAAATCAGAACAAAGGGGGTGTGAGAAAAAAGAGAGAGAAACAGAAGTGAGGAGGGAATAGATATGAGAGGAAGACGGGGATGAAGCGTGGGCGTGTGCAACAGAGGCTGATAGACAGCCTGAAATAAAAGACTAATTAAGAGTCAAAAACTGCAGGCGTCCAGGTAAACAGACAAACCATAGAGAAAGAAGAGAAGCTGCTTTACTCTCACAAGGCAGCATTTCAAATACCGCATTTTTTCAACTGACCTTTAAGTTGAACACTGGTGTAGAATAAACCACATGTTTGCAACAAATGACACACACATACACACATTCTGCTCCCAAACAAAAACCAAAGAATCATCCTGTCACTGTCCCTTCATGGGATTCTCACCATGTGTGCGCGACAGTGAAGCGCCTCTGCTTGTGGATGTTGTTGTTGAGCAGCATGCGACGAAGCAGACGAGGGGAGTTGCGTGGAGAAAGGCGGGGGGAGATGGAGGAGGGAGACCGGCGGTGTCCTCGTGGCCGTTCTGGCTGCAGCAGGTTCTCCCGCAGGATCTTCACCAGGTCTTCATTCAGGCCGGAGTGTTTGGGCATGGGGGGCACTGCCAGGGTGTCCTGGTGGGTCACCCCCATGCCTGCCTGCTGGGCCATGCCTGCCCCGGCTTCACCTCCCTTCACTGCCAGCACCAGCAGCAGGGAAATAAATGGTCAGTAAAATGCAGGATGCAAGTTATTTCAGAGAGGGAAAAGGTGAACACCCACTCGAAGCATGTTTTCTTTTTTGGGAGAGTCCAATAATTCCCTCAGAATTGTGAAATATGAAAAGAAATCCAAAAATCAACTTAAAAAAAGCCCCTCTTCTTGTGCCTCACAACAGCAGCCTCCCTTTACAGAAAAAAGAGAGAGAGATATGTGAGAGGAAAAAATACTGATTTTTACTCCTCCTTCAAGGTCTTTCAAGAAGCCAGCAAATTAATAAAAGCACTGAGTGCTGCTGCCTTTGTCTGCTCTGTAACACTGGGTGCCTGCTGTGTACGTGCATGAGAGAAGATAAGAGGATGGAGGGAAGATGGATGGAGGGAGGGAGGGAGAGTAGGTGGCATGCAAAAAAAAGGGAAAAATTAAATTTGGGGATTCCGTCTATTCCAGCTCTTTTCTTGCAGGCACACTTAAGCACAGTCCAGTCAGACGATGCCAAACAAGAGTGAAGCAGAACCAGTGCAGTCTGTTCCAGCGCAGCTGGCCAACCTTCTGTGATGCACCAGTGAAAATTCCCAGCCCAGGTTGAATCAGTCCAGTTCTGCCTCAGTTCTGCCTTATCCTGTTGAAACAAGCCATCCTGTTCATCATGTTTTCCTCTGCCTGCACTCAAAGACTGACTGATGACTGCAGCCAGTTTATCAGCCACTGATCCTCTGAGGCTGACCAGAGTGTGAGCATGTGTGTGAATTTGTTTGAAGAGTGTGCGTGTATGCAACCATGAGTGTTGTGTGTGTGTGTGCGAAAGACAGAAGTAAAGCCAGGAGGATTTGGGAGAGATACGATGAGCTTGTGTAACACCAAGGAACACCGGTGACGCGTTCATGTGCCTGAAAATTCAGGCACAGATCAGCTGCAGCGACGTTGCACACACACTTGTGGACCGACCACACTGAAAGTATTCATTATTTATTAATGGGCTATTTCAAAAGTTTCAATGGCTGCGTCTATAGGTCAATGGCAAGAGTTGTCTGTCACTTATTTTTACAAGTGTCCACTTGTGGGCTTCCATCAGGTGCCGTGATACTGTACAGTATGCAATTTCTGGACAGACAGCTTGGGGGCCAGATTTATTAAAAAAAAAAAAAAATCATAAATGGTGGGATGATTACTGATAGTTATTTAAGTTTTTCAGTTGGTTTAATTACTTACAATTTTAGGCATCTAGTCATTTGACAGTTCAGTGAGCCAGATTTGGCCCACGGGCTGCCAGTTGATAATCACTATTGTAGAGAAAGAGACACTCCATTACGTGTTTAAACATTAAGTGTTTTTCTTGGAACCCAGTTGATATTTCAACAGTACAACACAGGACCTCATAATGCATAAATAATGGCTTAATTGATGCGAAATGTATGCGTTTACCGTCCAGACCTGACTCCCATTGAAAATGTTTGTTGTATAATCATGAAAACATGAATCAGACAAACACAACCATTCCTATGTAAAAGACCTCAAATACTTGAGTCTCTCAAGTGTTTTTTTTTTTTTAAATTGTACTATATTGGTCCCATATTTGTGAAATTGTTGCATTAGCAGCAGATACGCTGTTAACAGGCTGCCTCTAGCAAGCGGCAATCATGTGGTTCCTCTGGGAATTGAACCCAGGACTCTCTGCTCTCTGCTTCCGAGTTAGGTGTGTAAACATATTTGTATAGAAACACACACACCAACACATCTTCTGTGCCTTTATGGCCAAAAAATATACCAAATTCTCCAGCCTTTGGCTGAGTTTGCAATTTATACTCAGCTACGACTTATAAATTAAAATATATGAGTTTGCAGCGAGCTCTACATAACCCCTAGCCATTTTTTTATTAGAATGTTTCCACGATTTGCAGCCAGCAATGCATAAAATCACTTCTCATATTGTTTACCTTCAACCAAACCAAGCTGCAGTGGAAAATTAGTGTTGATGCAGTGCTAATTAGATCTAAACGGTAACGTTGAACAACACTGAAATACATCAGATTTATTGCTATGACTGTGGCTGACACCAGATTTAAACAGACCGAGTGAGATGGTGGTGTGTAGTAAATCAAGTGTGAACACTGTAGTATTTTATTTGATTAGTAAGATTTGCTAAACGAATTGGTTAATAGTAAGAAGTGCTAACACGAGGACTTAGTCTGCAGCGTCACACTGTCTGTGTGTCACTGTTTTAATGTTTTTGTACACTACACAAGCATTTAATTCCCGACAAAACAAAGAGTTGATCAGAAAACAAAGACTTTATCACACCGTGGATCAACAAAAAAATGTAATTTTAACTAATAACATTGTTTAGAAGGGAAGAACAAATAAATGATTAGACTGCTCATGTTGGCTGTACAGATTTAAATCAAACTTTTGTTCAACATTTTTTATTATCTAAAATTAAATGAAGTTAGTGACTCCCACCGGCAAAACACTATTAATTTAAAGCAAAGTAGAAAGTCATCATAGCTTTAATGCTAAGCTAATATTACCAAGCCCCCGCAAACAAGTTTTAGTTAATGTCAAGCTAGTGTCAAGCGTGTATTGGGTAGTCTAACAACAGCATTGAACAATAGTCCAATTGTTCATTTTACGGTAAAAAAAGAAAGAAAAAAGAAAGAAAGAGAGACTGAGGACTTCTTCCAAGTAGCCAAAAGGTTGAAAAAAAAGTTCATAAATATCTAAAATCTAAATAATCCTTGTCATCTTTCCTGCAGGTTCATTCTCCGCTTTTTTTTCTCCTTTTTTTTACTGCACCGCAACCAAATCTATCCATTCCTTACAATGCTAGTTTGATACTTAAGATGATGTCCTGCAACCCCAGAGGCCGCATGAATCGCACTTGTCTTAGCCCTAACACAAACATAGATTAAAACAAATCTTACAGTATGTGAAATATGGGTGTATTTTTATATTTACTGTGCCTTTTAAAGTACTTCTCCTTGTATGCACTACTTTATTTGATGACCTATATTCCAAATTAATATTAAGATATTTAAGATTTGTCTTAGGAATTCCATTTACTCTGTGCACACTTCTAGTAGTGAAAGCATAAACTGGTCCATTTTGGACCTCGTACAATTTATTAACTAAATAACAGAGATGATGTACTTTGTTTTAGAAGCCATTCAATATTGAAATAATTTTAAAAAGAATGTTATTTTCTCTCCCTGCTTGTCCTCTACCTTTTTCTTCCTCACCCTAGTGTTCCTCTTTGTTTCCATTTCTTTGAGGAACTGCAGGGGCAACATGGATGGAGACGGACACATGAATTTGTCAAGAACTCAACACTTGAGAACACACTCTGGGACCAACACAGTAACTTTCATGCACTTCCGAGTTGGGATGTAACGCTGTTAAGGAGCATTCCTAGAGGAAAGAAGAAGAAGAATCAAATTTTTTGGTCTCCAGATTAGGGTTAGTGTTGTGATACAATTTGTATTACTTTGGATGCCCTTTGTTATTGCAAATCAATCAGGCTTGGGAATTGAACCCAGAACCTTCTGCTTGCCATTCTAGCCATAGCAAAGGGAGACAAAGGGTAGAAAGTAAAGGAAACTCCTAACCAAAACATGTGGTGTGTAGGAGTATATCAAAGTCTGACAATGTGTTCATAGTGAACCCTAGGAACAGATGTATGATTCATACTTGACAATCACAAACTGCAAAAATATTATATACTAGCTGTAGAATTTATGGAAACCTTATGGACCATTTTTAAATACCAATTTGCATATAACTTATTGCTTACGAGCAAAAAAAAAAGATTTCTAAAATTACGTTTCATCCAAACAAATGCTGCAAGTCTCCAGCGCTGACAGCTCAACCTGGGGTGTGATTATTTTCTCAAAATGTTTCTCTGTGTGACACTTGACTGGTTAATTTCATGCCATATCTGCGGGAAATTAAAATGGTAAGGGCCCATGAAGTAAGTAACTGCAGATGTTAATGTAACATTTATGTGCTTTACAGTTTAATTACGTGTCAGAAGGATGATGAAGATGGGACAGGGGTTAAATAGTAATAAGGCAAATAATTAAATAATGTGGCATGCTTCAACGTGAACCATATTTCACGTTCACCTTCGACTGACACACACGAGGCTTAATACAGCTCTGCCGCCCTCACGTGGAAACTTGTACTAGTACTCCGGCACTAACTTATTCTTAGTTAACCCATGTAAAGGGGGTAATTTGATACTCAATAATAACAACCGTGGTTATTATCATTATTATTATTAAAATTTGCCAATCACAAACAAAGAAAATAACATGTAACTGACCCCTGGTAAACCACTGAGACACCAACTTTCAGCACAGATTGGTGCCTAGAAACTTTGTACTTGAAATGAAAATACTGTGAATACTCTTTCTACCGAACAACCTGCCATTGAAAAATTTTGCAGAGGTTTTGATGAGCTTTCTGTCTCCTCAGTCCTTGTGACTGGGTCACTTTTTTTTCTTGAAAAATATGCAAACACAATTGTAAGCCATAACTATCCTTCCTGTAAATGCTTAGCTCTAAGTGGTTTTTTTATCACTGTATATAAAAGTATGAAAACCTCATAACAGGGTTATTGTTATATATATATCTGCATGCACCTCAAATAATACTGAAGGTGTCACAGACATCAATTTCTTCAAATAATTTTTATTTAGATTTGTTCATAGACATGTCTCTCTCTCTCTCTCTCTCTGTGTGTGTATATATATATATACATTCAGTACTATATTAAGTACTCAACAACAGCCTTTTAATTGCAAAATTTAAAAAACATAACGTAACTTCCCATACTTGGTCGATAGATGGCAGCATTTCTTAAAAAATCCTTTCTAGTGAAGCATCTCATTGAAGGCTTTGTTGCAGCCTGCTGTTTTCTCTGTTCACTTATTAAAACGTTCCCTTCACACAACCTTAAGGCTCATCTACACCACAGGTCACACGGAGTCACTGTGCCTTTTCTCAGAATTGTATTTGTACTGCATCAGCTGTCACTCCTGAAAATACTATTCTCTTAAGTGCTGCGTCTTTTTTCCATTCAGTTGAGGACATTTTTTCTCTCTTTATAGCTTTTACATTTAATGAGCTGTCACTTCAGATGACTCACAGCCTGTGGTAAAAGCAGGCAGCCTTTTACAAAAAACAACCGATGCACAAATGAGGAAGCTGCAAGAGTACAGTATGAATTGTCAGTGCATCTAATAGGTATTTTTCTATGAAGGACAGCTTGGTGCAACAAAATGACATAAGATGAAACGACTGTTCTGAAGTACTCTAATTCCATCACTTCTGCCTATTATCCATGCACTGACAATGTTGTCTTGTGCAGCCAGTCTCTGAATGACAGAGAGGTTATATCCTGGACAGTTAGTGGACAAAAGTCAAAGGTCAAGTTTGTCCTTCTAGGACTACACACACTCTCTCTCACACACACACACGTCTGCAACTATTGTCACCCCTTTACATTAGAGTTAATATTTTTTCTTGGAACAACAGCCAAGCATCTGAATGTTAATGAAGTAATTATATTCACTTTGTCTGTAGGCTAAAATAAAAGATTTTCTTTTGCAAAAAATAAATAATTAAATATCAATCAGTCAATTGCTCAGATTACATTAAAGTCCACAAAACTCAGGACAAAATGGACAAATGGACTTGTCTGTGTAATGAAAGAGCATCAATGGTTATTATGATTAATTCACTCTGTCCTGATCGACACTGACATTTAAAAAGTCCAGGAGTTGGATCTGACTGTGCGGCAGCCTTTCGTAATGACCCGGTGAAGATAAAACTTCATGGAGTCTTCAATTACGGAAAGAGCTACTGTAGAGCTTGGATTGAATCCATCAGAATACTCTGCTAGAGCCTGTGATTAATTGCGTGCACATTTGCAGGTACATTTTCAAAGGCTAACTGCATACATACTGTGCATCCCATGTTCAGTTGCATATATCTCGTCGGTACTCAATACCTATGCAGTTTTCTGGCATGCAGTCTGCCTTGGCAGATGGAGACAGAAGGGGGCAGTAGAGGTGGGGAAGCTCGCCAGAGGAAAAGGGAGTTTAGAGCAGCCTGCAACTGAAGCAGGGTGACAGAAAATGACCACTGGGATGAATAAAGGAGGCTGAGAGGGTATATGGGTTTTATTTTTTTTATTATTAAATTAATTAGAATTTCCATTAGGTTACTTTTAATATAAGTAATTTAGCCCACTTAAAATGAAAAAGACAAAAATCTTGTTGTTCATTAGTTGTGTAGTATGTTATTTATGAACGTCCTACATTTGGCCTAGGTTAAGTGCAGTTGTGGTCTGGGTGAGGGTCTTGCTCTGGAGAAAATGAGACATATGCACCTGACATAACACTTTGTAAACATTAAAACACATTCACATTTTGCACAATGACGTGTTCTGTAGCTTGTGATACAGTGTAAATTCCTGTAAAACTTTGTCTGCAAAAATATAATTACACAACTTTCTAGCATTCATGCTACCCATAAATTATCTAGTAGTAACAGCATTTAATTAGAAATATCCATAAATGAAAAATCTTAAGAAATGTCACTAGAAAATAGTGATGTGTCGTTTGCAAGTGATTCGTTCAATATGAACAAATCTTTCATATCGTGAAAGATTCGTGACTCCCAAGTCATATGAAAGATTTGTTCATATTGAACTCACGAATCACTCTGCGAACTAATCTTTTACTGTGAACTAATCACTCATTGCAAACGAATCACTCACTGCGAACTAATATTTCACTGCGAACTAATCCTTCACTGTGAACTAATCTTTGACTATGAACTAATTTTTCACTACGAACGAATCACTCGCTGCGTACTAATCTTTCACTGTGAACTAATCTCAGATTCGTTCTCACAGAGTCGTTTAAAAATTTGTTGTCACAGATTTGTTTTCGCAGATTCGTTCAAAGCTTCGTTCTCGCAATTTTGTTTCATTTGTCAAGTGAGACAGAGCTCAGGTCTCGTTTGCTCTCATTCATCTTCAGATTGTGGTGTGTTTTTCTTAGGTTTTCACATCGTTTTAATTGACTCTCTGTTTGAGAGTCAAAGATCCAAATCAGTAAAAAGAGTAGGTCTTCCCATCACTACTAGAAAATTAACAAATCTATTTTAATCTAATTCTCACATCTGTTGATGGCAAACTTGTTTGTTACTTTAGCTTTGCTCCATGGTTTTCAAAGCAGACCTTTCTTATCTTCTGTTTGCACATACTCCGACGGTCAGTCCATCTCAAAAGAACCGCAATTCAGTTTAACTTTGACTTGATGAGAGGACTTGTTGCTGCCCGTTCGTTAGCATTTAGTCTTTTGATTCTACCACACCGTTGTTACCTAGCTAATCTGCACAGCGCCACGGCGCGTATGGGCAGGACACATATGCAAGCAATGTTAATGGTATTATTGGCTGCGTAGCGTAAGTGAACTATCTAGTATTGGCTAGACACCTGTCAGTCAGTAAAATACATCATTACTTTTTTTACGCCTCAATGATCAACACAGTTTATGTTGAATGTTATTTTTTGCGATGCACAGATTTTCTTTGTACGTTGAGAAAGTTCGAGCTGTGCGTGATTGTGCAGGTGCGCATCTTAAAGGGGACATTGCTCCGGAGTATAGGTCGCACCACCCAAGAAATGCATAATGAAGAAGAAAAAACACATAAGTCGCTCCAGAGTATAAGTAGCAGCAGTGCCTTCTAGTGGCTGTCAGTGTGAAAATAACAAATATGAAAATATAAACTGTATTTTAATATATAAGTCGCACCTGAGTATCGTCGCACACCCAGCCAAAGGATGAAACTTATAGACTTGTAGTCTGGAAAATACAGTAGATGTAAGGCTAAAAGGTGTCAAATTGAACAATTTACTAAGTTTTCTAATTGATTCTAAACTTGTCTTACCCATTTTAAAAATAACAAACAGGTTGACTTATTTTTTACCAAGCCTACACTGTCCACCCAGGTGGAAACAGAATTCAGACATCGTCAATGATGAAATAAAAAATATTCAAATAATTATAAAAAACAAAACAAAACACACACATCTTAACAATTAGGTTGTTACTAAGATGAAGTAAAATCACTATGGTTCGACATATAAGGAGGTGTCAGAGGTATGATGACAACTCCAAATGGCTGTCACCATTTTTCATCTTACCCCCATGGGCACTAAAACCACAGCTCAAATGTCATTTGCCCACTAACCACAATTACCACGTCATCTGCTGTTCACCACAAAGTGACACTAGTAATTTAAACAAACAATTATACGTGTGTGTCTTCCTGCAAATGTATATTAATTTTGGAGTCTATAGTTATTACTTTTTTTACATCTGCATCTACATTTACTTTGGAATAGGCAACTGGATTGGCTGCTTGTTCCAAACAAATGAATAATGAGAACTACTTACCAAACTGCTGAAGCCAATAGTTGAGGAATTACAGTGACTTTATCTCACTTGAAATTTGTTAGAAGGCCACACATCATGTACAGCAGTACTTCTCAAATAGTAGGGCAGGCCCCCTGGTGGGGCACAGTGAGGTGCCGGGGGTGCGAGGGGCTTCCAATGGAATATGACAAGCTGGATAAGTGTACCACTGCTGTAATGCTTGAACGATAAACAAGCCTCTAGTGACTAGGTGGCAACAACTCATACAGTGGTTTGTACAGAAAAAAATATACATTTTATTAGTATTTCAATTTATGGGGGTGTGGGTCGAAGGGGTGAGGGAGGTGGTGGGGGGCGTGAAATAATTTCTGTCTGTGAGTATCACTGTCCTACAGCAAAGCAACACAGATGGTAGCAGGTTTCTGGTGGCTTGACTGAGTGAAGGTGATGGTGGTGGGGTTCCTTTTACACATGGTTTTCTAAGATAGTTTCCCATTCAACACTCTACTAAAAATGACATGCATTATCATGTGCCTTTTTTAACAGGTAGCTGACAGATGCTGAAATTTGTTGTTTCCTTAATTTCAAAATGTGTGTTGTGCATGGAATTAAAAAACACAACATTTACTCAATGAAGGACTGTTTTGCCAGGACACAGTAAACTGCTTTGGCACAGACTTAAAGCTTAGAATTTTCTGAATATCAAGCAAACTCATTAGCCTTTTACAAACCCATATAATAACATGTTCCGCATGTTATTATTTTGACAGCGGTTGACGAAAAGCACTTCTACAGTAACATGAGTTTCCAAGCTATTCCAGAATAACAGAAAGCAGAGAGGAAGACCGTGGGAACGCTACGTGATGGGAATAAAAATGAGCCAAGTGGGAAAATTGTGAAAAAAACAAAGGCAGTTACAGACATGCTAATGCTGACATGGGTCTGCTTTTGTTTCATGATATTTATAGAATAGTTTCCTTTTTATTTACATTGCAATCAGAAACCATAAGACGTCTTTACTCTGTCAATTCACAGGAGAGTAACTGATAAACACTGCATGACCGTTGGTGATGATGCAGCTCATCAGTCTTTGTAGCAATACAAGTGTACATACACCGTTCACCTGTCCACATGAAAGTACATGTGAAAATCCTGATAAACAAGCTGATCTGCCTGAATGACTTCAGATGAGGTTTTTTATTGGTCATTCACACAGTTTTAGTGGGCTACAAAAGAAAGAAAGAAAGAACTTGTGCCTGCATTTGCAAGCAGTCACTTTTTCAATTTGAATGATTTTAAAATGAAAATGTCACCTTCCTCCGTATTAGTCCAGCAATAAAAATATTTCTTCCATTTTACAGCAAGTGTAACTCAGACCTGGTCTAAAACAATATACATCAACAGATTGAATTTCAGATGCACTCAGGCATCGCCAGTGATGGGAATAACGGCGTTAGAATAAATGCTGTTACTAACAGCGTTACTTTTTTCAGTAACGGTAATGGAACTAATGACTTTATCTATCGTTATAACACCATTACTGTCACCAACTCTCTTTTACTGCGCATTACTGAAGCTACTCATTGAAGCTGTCTTCCGACTTGGCTCACACAGACACAGAAGCTGCAAATATGTGTTTACACATAAACCCAGCACACAGGTCGAACAGCACACACACGCAAACATTCAGAGATGGCAAATCCGGAGTCAAAGGGGAAGACGGTGTTTTCAAGGTGGAAATACAGGCACTACTTTAACCTCATGAAGGTAAAGAGAAAAAATGTCCGGTGTACATTATGTCCGAGAGCAAAGAGTTTGTCCACGTCCGGTGTAAACAACTCCAATTTAATGAAGCACAACTCGATGGTAGACACTTCTACTACGTTGCCAACCAGTGACATGCGGTTAGGGGAGGCAGTAAAAAAAAAGTACATAAAATCAATATTAATATTTTCCACTGATTTCTGTCTTCTACAGAAAAAAAGTCAGCAGGGGAGGCAGGCAGTACTCTGCCTCACCTCAAGGGGGCGTCTGAAGATCTAATATCCCACTCAGGAAGTGCATTAGGAAGTGCTTCAGGCACTTGGTGCTTTTTTAGTCTTTTAAACATTCCGGATTTGTAATAGCTGCATAACAACATTTTCGCAGAAGAAAGGAGACAAAATTATGTCACCAGTAGAGACCAACCTGTTGCTGGTTCCTCACTGTGTATGTCACAGCGTGGAGCTAATAGATCTTAGCTAATTTGACGCTCTGTGAAATGCCAAAGTATTTTTAAATGGTTCAGGCAGGAAATTGAATAAAACCACACCCTTAGATGTGAAAGATTCACATATTAGTTGAGAGGGTGGATTA